AAAAAAAAAAAAAAAAAAAAAAAAAAGATTCAAAACATAGATTATATTTTCTAACCTCCATAAAATAAATTAAAAATCAGTAATAAAAATACTGGAAATATCAAAATAGTTTCATATTTTGAAACTAAAAGATACTCTTTTAAATAACTTGTGGGTGAACAAAAATTGTAATGAAAACCATGAAATACTTAGAACTAAATTACCACTCAAGTGCTGCATAGTAAAACTTGTAAGATGTAAGGTCATACTTTTAGAGAAATTTATAGTAATATATAAATATAAATATATACATAGATTTTTTTTTTTTTTTTTTTTTTTAGAGAACGATTCTTACTCCATTGCCCAGGCTGCAGCGCAATGGCACGATCTCAGCTCACTGCAACCTCCACCTCCTGGGTTCAAGTGATTCTCCTGCCTCAGCCTCCTGAGTAGCTGGGGTTACAGGCATGGACCACCACATCTGGCTAATTTTTGTATTTTTAGTAGAGACACGGTTTCACCATGTTAGCCAGGCTGGTCTCCAACTCCTGATCTCAAGTGGTCGGCCTGCCTCAACCTCCCAAAGTGCTGGGATTACAGGCATGAACCACCAAGCCTGGCCCTAAATGTATATATTAGAAAGCAAGGAAGACCAAGATATTTAGCTCAAAAGAAGGTAAAAGGCACTTTGGGAAGCAGAGGCAGATGTCCGAGAACAGCATTGTCAATATAGTGAGACTAAAAAGAGTAAAAGGACAGGGTAAAACAAAAAAAGGAAGTAAAAAATAGCAGAAATTAGCAACATGTGATCTATGCCAACACAATTATCAACCACGAGAAAAAACATTTAAACTCAAGAATATTTATGTAAAAGGAAAGCCATTATGACACTACTGTTTTTGAGATGGAGTCTCACTCTGTCACCCAAGCTGGAGTGCAGTGGTGCAATCTCAGTAATCTCAGTTTACTGCAGCCTCCGCCTCCAGGGTTCAAGTGATTCTCCTGCCTCAGTCTGAGTAGCTGGGATTAAACGCACACACCACCATGCCTGGCTAATTTTTGTTTTTGTTTTGTTCTTTTTAAGAGGGAGTCTCACTCTGTCGCCTAGGCGGGAGTGCAGTGATACGATCTCCGCTCACTGCAACCTGCCTCCCGGGTTCAAGCAATTCTCCTGCCTCAGCCTCAGAGTAGCTGGGATTAAAGGCGCGACCCACCATGCCCGGCTAATTTTTGCTTTTTGTTTTTTGGGGTTTTTTGAGATGGAGTCTCACTCTGTCACCCAGGCTGGAGTGCAGTGGCTTGATCTCACTAATCTCAGCTCACTGCAGCCTCCACCTCCTGGGTTCAAGCGATTCTCCTGCCTCAGTCTCCGAGTAGCTGGGACTAAAGGCACACAGCACCATGCCCGGCTAATTTTTGTTTTTGTTTTGTTCTCTTTGAGAAGGAGTCTCACTCTGTCGCCCAGGCTGGAGTGCAGTGGTGCAATCTCAGCTCACTGTAACCTCTGCCTCCTGGTTTCAAGCAATTTTCCTCTCAGCCTCTTGAGTAGCTGGGATTATGGAGCTATGTTGCCCAGGCTGGTCACACCCGGATAATTTTTGTCTTTTTAGTAGAGACAAGGTCTCACCATGTTGCCCAGGCTGGTCTCAAACTCCTGACCTCAAGTTATCCGCCTGCCTCAGCCTCCCAAAGTGCTAGGATTAGGTGTTAGCCATTTCACCCCGTCTATGACACTACTTAAAATGATAAAAAAGGAGAAACAGAGGCTGGGTGCAGTGGCTCATCCCTGTAATCCCAGCACTTTGGGAGGTCAAGGCGGGTGGATCACGAGGTCAGGAGCTCAAGACCAGCCTGGCCAAGATGGTGAAACCCCGTCTCTACCAAAAATATAATAATTAGCTGGGCATGGTGGTGTGTGCCTGTAATGTCAGCTACTCAGGAGGCTGAGGCAGGGAATTGCTTGAACATGGGAGGCAGAGGTTGCAGTGAGCCAAAATCATGCCACTGCACTCCAGCCTGGGTGACAGAGCAAGACTCTGTCTTAAAAAAAAAAAAAAAAAAAAGAGAAACATAAGCATCTAATAATAAGAGTGGAGTGATTAAATGAATTATGGATTATAATGGCAAGAGAGAAAGCAAGACATCAAAACTGTATTTATGGTATGACTTTTTTTTTTTTGGAGACAAAGTCTTGTTCTGCCACTAAGGCTGGAGTGCAGTGTCACGATCTCAGCTCGCTGCAACCTCCACCTCCAGGGTGCAAGCAATTCTCCTGCCTCAGCCTCCTGAGTAGCTGGGATTACAGGCATGTGCCACCATGCCTGGCTAATTTTTATATTTTTAGTAGAGGTGGGGTTTCACCATGTTGGTCAGGCTGGTCTCGTTGACTTCATTATCCACCTGTCTCGTCATCCCAAAGTGCTGGAATTACAAGTGTGAGTCACTGCACCTGGCCCCCTTCTTTTTTTTTTTTTTGAGACAAGTCTCTATCTCCCAGGCTGGAGTACAGTGGTGAGATCTCAGCTCACTACAACCTCTGCCTTCCAGGTTCAAGAAATTCTCCTGCCTCAGCCTCCCGAGTAGCTGGGATTACAGTTGCACACTACCACACCTGGCTACTTTTTGCATTTTTAGTAGAGACGGGGTTTCACCATGTTGGTCAGGCTGGTCTTGAACCCCTGACCTCGTGTTCTGCCCGCCTTGGCCTCCCAAAGTGCTAGGATTACAAGTGTGAGCCACTGCTCACGGCTGACCTCTTTTTTCTTTTTTCCCCCAGAAAAATACAGCTTTATGATGTGTTAGGAAAAAGGCTGGGAGAAAATTAAAAGGTTGATGGTTTAATTTTCCTCTTTACTCTTTTTTTCATGTTTTAAAGAACACGTATTACTTTTTTTTTGAGACAGGGTCTCACTCTATCGCCCAGGTCAGAGTGCAGTGGCACAATCATAGGTTACTGCAACCTCTACCTCCTGGGATCAAGGGATCCTCCCACCTCAGCCTCCAAAGTAGCTGGGACTACAGTCGTGCTACCATGCCCAGCTAATTTTTGTATTCTTTTTGTAGAGATGGAACCTCGCTATGTTGCCCAGGCTGGTCTCAAACTCCTGGACTTAAGCAATCCATCTACCTCAGCTTCCCAAAGTGCTGGGGTTACAGGTGTGAGCCACTGCATCCAGCCCCTACTTTCATAATCAGAAGGAAAACAAATCTGATGTCTTAAAATAAACACACTAAATACAAAGAGAACAACAACAAAATAAGTCTGTTCACGCTTTCTGCAGAACTGAACCTTGGGATGCCCCAATCATGGCTAAACTGGTAAGAATTTCAAGTTCTAACTCTCCAGCCCATTCTCTCCGGCTTCATCTTGACTTGTCCCCAGTCTGCCACAGCTAACCTTTTGGAAGTGAAGGAACGACATCGGAAGGGCAACTCCTGCCATTCCTCCGGGACAGAGGAGCCCCCACCCCGCCCCTGCCCCGGTCCCGGTCCCAGGCTCTGCATGCATCCTCTGGTCTCTGGATAGACAGTAAACAGCAGCACCACCTCCTCACCTCCCTCAGTGACCGTTTTAAACCAGTCCAGCAGCTTCTCTAAACAGGTGTCATCTGCCACCGGCTGCCTGGGGTCTACCAGAACAGCACAGAGAGCCGGGAGCAGCCGGGAGCATTCCAGGTCCATGGTGAGGCTGAGGTCCCTGCAAAGGCAATGTAAGAGCCAAACTTCAATGCCCACTCCAGACCCTGCTCGCCCTAAGCACAGCAGCCCACCATGCCCGCTCAGGCCTGGGAAGAGGCCCCAGAGCTTTCTTCTCGGGTCAGGAGAACTACGATCCACACATCAGAGGTCTGTACTGCAGGGATAGATGCAAAGATTTGTCTGGGTGGGGCCCTCAGCGCTGGTGGCAGGGCTGGAAGGGACAGCTAAGAGTCTGACTGAAACCATAAGGCCTCTGGAGCTCAGTCTGTCAACCTTGGGCTTTGGTGCAGTCGGAGCAACGGCGTGGTGCTGGCCCAGGCTGCAGGTGGGACAGAGTCAGGGGTATCTTTGAATTCCGGGGTCACCCATGTGTGCAAGGGGAGTGTCTATCCATGTCCCAGGGCTAGTCTGGGCTGGAAAGTGTCGGTCCCTCCCAGGGTCAGTGGTGGCTGCATTTGACGTCCTGAAGCCAGCAGGGGGGTGCGGAGGGGAAGGGGCGCCTGTCCATGTGTCTGTCCCTCACAGGGTCAGTGGTGGCTGCATTTGGCGTTCTGCAGCCAGCGGGGGATGCGGAAGGGAAGGGGCGCCTGTCCCTCCCTGGACCAGGGTGTACTTCGGTGCGTCAGGCCTGGAGTGTGGGTGGGGTGGTCAAGGGCTCTGTCTGGCCGGGGCATCGTCTGTCCATGCCCAGGGAGGCTGCGTCCCGGGAAGAGGAACCCTCCCCACCGTTCAGTCAGTTTTGGCCGCGAGCGCCAGGCCCGAGGGTCCAGAAAGGGGCGCCACACCGGGCGGCCTCAGTCGGGCTGGGAAGCGAGTCCAGGTCGCGCACGCCTCGGGCTGGTCGGCTCCTTGGCTCACCTGCCCGCCCTCGCCCTCCGCCCGGCCTCGGCCTCCCTACGTCCCACCACGGCGACCGCGACCCCACAGCAGACGCGCGCCTCACCGCTTGGTTCCTTCCTCCGCCGCAAGCCCCGCCCTTCGCCCAAGGCTCCGCCCCCGGACAGTGCCACCTGCCAGGCCTGGAGGAGGCAGAGGACAGAGACGGCTGTCTTGGGGAACTAAGATAGCGCTCCTGGAGGCCGCTCTAGAATCCTCGAGGGACAGACTTGAAGGAAGGAGGTCAAACTGAGAAGGGCTGGGGACAGGCAGGCGCCAAGCATGTCTCTCCGACGGATCACCCCCGCCAGGCTCCTGGTGGTACATGCCGAGCATCCGGTGGGTGGGCGGGACGTCCCGGGGGCGGGAATTTCTGAGGAAGGAGCTTGGCTGTGTGCCGAGGGGCGGGCCTCGTCTGCAGGGAGCGAGGAAACCACGTGCCGGAGAGAAGCGTCCGCATACGTGCACCAAAGCCGTTGGTCCTTTGGCTTCTGGTTCCCAAAACTAGGTCTTCGGCGGCAGCGCTGTGGCTCCTGCCTGCGATCCCAGCCCTTTAGGAGGCCCAGTTGGGAGGATTGCTTGAAGGCAGGAGTCGAGACCAGCCTAGGTAACAAAGCCAGACCCCATCTCTTAAAGAAAGAAAGAAAGAAAATCAGCCAGACGTGGTAGCACATGCCTGTGGTCCCATCTACTCTGGAGGCTGAGGCGGGAGGATCACTTGAGCCTAGAAGTTGAAGGCTGCAGTGAGCTATGATCCTGCCACGGCATTCCTGCCTGGGCAACATAGTGAGACCTTGTCTCAAAAAAAAGAAAAAAAAAAAACAAGCAGAAAAACTGTGTCCAAAAAATTGGGTTCAAAACACCAACTGTGTGCTGGAGAGTCTCAAAGCCAGTGGATAGTCAAGGCTCCTGTTCCTAAAGCACTGTTTTACAGCAAGATGTTGGGGGCAAACACCAGAAGTATCTTAGGAAACAAAGCAGAATTCCTATGGGTATTAAAATTAAAATGGGTTGGGTACGTCTTTGTAGCAATGTGTAAGGAAAAAAAAGTTGAAAAGTTAAAATGGGACTTTAAAAACATTGATTTTGTCAGGTCATCTTGTTTTATTTTATGTATTTATGGAGACAGAGTTTTTCACTCTTTTTGCCCAGGCGGGAGTGCAATGGCGTGATCTCCAGTCACTGCAACCTCTGCCTTCTGGGTTCAAGCGATGCTCCTGCCTCAGCCTCCGGAGTAGCTGGGATTACAGGCGCCCACCACCACACCCGATTAATTTTATATTTTTAGTAGAGACGAGGTTTCACCATTTTGGCCAGGCTGGTCTTGAACTCCTGACCTGAGCTGACATGCTCACCTCAGCCTCCCAAAGTGCTGGGATTACAGGCGTGAGCCACCTCGCCCAGCCATGCTGGGTAACCTTGGACAAGCAACTTCCCTGACCCTTGCATGTCCCACTCCGCCACACACACATACACCCTTAGAGCTACATGGGTGAAAAGGTTTGAAATGCATGGTTACCTTCCCTGAAATTTGGTTCCTCACTGTAAAATGAGATACTAATATCGACCCAGTTAGGTAGTTGTGGAGAAAAGAAAACTTAGAATAGCACTGTGCTAAGTGTTTCACTTACTGTAAACTCATATGATTCTATACCAACTGTCATGTAGAGTACTACCAGCCCATCAGATGAGGAAACTGAGGCACAGAGAGGCTAGCTCATAAGGTCTTACAGCTAGTGGGCTGGCACAGCTTGGATTTGAATCCAAACAGTCTGGCTCCAGATTTGAATACTGTATTGTACAAATACACAATTTTTTTTGTTTTTGTTTTTGAGACATAGTCTCACTCTGTTGCCCAGACTGGAGTGCAGTGGTACGATCTTTGCTGACTGCAACCTCCATCTCCCAAGTTCAAGCAATTCTCCTGTCTAAGCCTCCTGAGTGGCTGGGACTATAGGCACCCACCACCCCTGGCTAATTTTTGTATTTTTAGTAGAGACAGGGTTTCACCATGTTGGTAAGGCTGGTCTCGAGCTCCTGACCTCGTGATCCTCCCAAAGTGCTGGGATTACAGACATGAGCCACCGCGCACCGTCCCCACAATTACTTATCTCAAACTTTGGGGAACAAATGTTTTTTCAGAATTCAGAACTGTTCAGATTTTAGACGTGTGACATGGCACATGTACACTGAATAGGAGATTACCATCCTAGCAGGGTGGGATGCAGCACCCCATAATTAAACGTATTAATAGTTATTCAGTGAAACTCACTCATGTAAACCCCAGGTAGGATAAATAAGCATTATAAATAGCCTCAGCTCAGAGTTTTCCTCCCGAAGAGTTGAGGTTAGGACGGGTCTTGCCTTCAAATAAGTTATGAAAGGCTTTCGAAAGTTTGTGGAATTCAGAATCACAGATAAAAGGTCGTAGATGGCTCTATAAATAAGAGAAGGGCAAGAAGTTCGGGACGCCCAGGGGTGGGAGAATGGCAAGAGGTACTTATGCACAGGGAGCAGAGAAAGCAAAACGCCCTGGATGAGACCCGGAAAGCAAACGGAAGTTTCTATGTGTGTTTGTTTGACTGAGAAAGGATCTTGCTTTGTTACCGAGGCTGGAGTGCAGTGGTGCGATCATGGCTCACTGCAGCCTCGCCCTCCGGGGCTCAAATGATCCTCCCACCTCAGCTTCCCGAGGAACTGGGACTATAGGCGTGCACCACAATGCATGGCTTTTGTTTTTATTTTATTTTATTTTTAGAGAGACGGGGTCTTGCTTCGTTGCCCAGGCTGGTCTCAAACTCTTGGGTTCAAATGGATCTCCCGCCTCAGGCTCCCAAAGTGTTGGGATTGCAAGCGTGAGCCACAGAGCCCAGCCAGTTTTTTCCCCCCCGTCAGCCTAGCGCTCCGCCCCAGGAACTCAGTGAGCGCTTCTGGTCGGCCGGCCGGCGCTCGCGGAATCTGCGCACGCACATGGCTGCCCCAGGGCACGCCGGTCACGTACCGAACCCTGCGGGTGGGCGGTGCCGTTGCCATGGCAGCGGGGTCGCGGGCTGGCGCGTGGGAAGGCCCCGAGGCTGCTGGCAGCCAGGGATGCCCGTGGAGCCCCAGACCCGGACGCTCGAGCCCGCAGCGCTGAGGGAAGACTGGGCGGCGCCGCCACCATGTTCCTGGGCACCGGGGAGCCAGTCTCGGAGACGGTAAGGACTGGCGGGCGGGCGTCCGCGAGGCCTGGTTTCGTCCCTGCCGCCCGCAGCCCCGGGGCCCCGCGCGGTGGCCAGCCCGGGGCGTGAGGACAAGGCGCAAGGCTGGGTGACAGCTGCCATTATTGTTACCGAACAAGAGTGTGCTGCAGGCCCGCGCCGCCTGCAGCATCGTCCGCCCTCGTAGAGGCTGCCGCTTCCAGGAAGCCCTCCGGGACTCCGCGCCCTCGCCGCTGGGCCCCTGCGAGTCTGCGGCCCGCGTGTGATCGGAGCTCACGGTATAAGTGCCTCCGGGCATCCTCGAACCGAGGCCGGATCCACGGATCAGGCGTGGCCCCAGGCGTCGGGGTGGGAGGGAGGCAGCCCCATGGTCTAGGACCCCAGTTTGGTCAAAGGAGGCTTCCTGGAGGAGGGTGGTGCCCTATATCCTTCCCAGTGCTAGGATGCACGGGTCCTCGGTTCGTTCCTTTGTCTGGTGAATACCTACTGTGTGTTAGAGATGCGTGAATCAGCTGCATTCCAATGGGGGGCGGAGGGACAAGGCAGTAGACAGGTAATTAAGATCGTGTCAGAAAGTGAGAGGTGCTGTGCAGAAAATGAAAGAGGCCCATGTAGCCGGGAGCCTTGGCTCAGGCCGGTAGTCCCTGCACTTTGGGAAGCCGAGGTGGAGGATCGCTTGAGGCCAAGAGTTCCAGACCACCCTGGGCAACATAGCAAGACCCTATCACTACAAAAAAAAAAAAAAAAAAAAAAAAAAAAAACCACCATAAAATTAGCCTAGATGTGGTGGTGCCTGCCTGTAGTCCCAGCTACTCAGGAGGCTGAGGTGGGAGGATCGCTTGAGCCCAGGAGGTGGAGGCTGCAGTGAACTGTGATCATATCACCGTCCTGCAGCCTGGGCGACAGAGTGAGGCACTGTCTCAAAAAAAAAAAAAAGCCCTTTGGGACAGGGACAAGGGGAGTGAATGGAAGGTGGGCATGGGCTTGATTATGGGGGGAGCCTTGCTGGCCATACAGGGAATTTGGATTTTATTGGAGACACAAAGGAAGCCTTTGGAAGGTTTCACATGGAGGGAACTGTGCTCGCCTTGCCTTCTTCTAACAAGACCACGGGACTCACAGCTGTACCCACATCAGGGGGCTTGGTGCTGCTGGCCAATTTGGAGCAGCTGAAGTTGCCTGCTTCTTCCCCAGGGCACCACATCCAGTCTCATCTGGAGGGCCTGCCTGCTTCTTCATCTTTAAGAAAAGAACTGCTTATTGTGATTATAAAAATAATTTGCATGTATTATTATTATTATTATGTTTTGGACGCAGTCTCGCTCTGTCAACTCAGGCTGGAGTGCAATGGTGCCATCTCGGATCACTGCAACCTCCACCTCCTGTGTTCAAGCGATTCTTGTGCCTCAGCCTCCCTTATAGCTGGGACTACAGGCACCAGCCACCACACCCAGCTAATTTTTGTATTTTTAGTAGAGATGGGGTTTCACCATGTTGGCCAGGCTGATCTCTAACTCCTGACCTCAGATAATCTGCCTGCCTTGGCCTCCCAAAGTGCTGTGATTGTAGGAGTGAGACCCCTCACCCGGCCCTGTGTAGATCTTTAATTTCTTTCAATAATAGTTTATATTTTTCAATGTATAAAGCCTATGCTTTTGTTACATTTATTCTTAAGTATTCTTTTTGATGTTATTGTATATTGAATTTTCTTAATTTTCAGCTTATTTACTCTTAGTATCTACAATGATAATATTTTTATATGAATCTTATCTTGCAAACTTGCTGAACTCATTATTTTTAATAGTTTTTTAGTAGATTCATTAGGATTTTCTAGGTATGAAATCTTGTCTGTGAAGAGAGATAGTTTTACTTCTTCCTTTTCAATCTGAATATCTTTTTATTTACTTTTCTTGCATTAAATTCCTGGCTAGAGACTCAGGTATCATTTGAATTGAAGTGATGAGAAAGGACAGCCTGGTCTTCTTGCTGATATTAGAAGAGAAACATTCCATCTTCCTCCATTAAATATTGTGTTGCACTGGATTTTTGTAGATGCCATTTATTAGGTTGAGGAAATTCTCTTATAGATTATGGAGTATCTTTATCATGCATGTTAGATTTTGTCAAATGTACCTT